TACTTGCGATGCGAACGAGAACTCGAACTGAACTCAGACCCCCCGGCCTCAAAAAAAAAAATGGACTTGACGGAACGTGAACTCGAACTGAACTCGAACTCCTTGCCCTCCCCTTTCTCTTCGTGCCTGAATGTAAGATTGAACTTCGAACTGAACTCGAACTCGAACTGCACTCGAACTCTAATTCCTAAACTGGCATCGAATCAAATTGGACTTCGATCTACCGTGAAATTCAGCTGAATTCCAAATCTCTCCCTCTCCGCAGTAAGCAATCCTTCGACTCCGAACTGAACTGAAACTCGCACTGAACTCGACCCCCCTAGCAAAAAATGAAGTTCGAACTAAACTCGACTTCGAACTGAACTCGAACCCCTAGCAAAAAAATGAAGTTCGAACTGAACTCGAACTCGAAGTGAACTCGACTCCCCCCGCCTTGAAAAAATGAACTTCGAACTGAACCCGAACTCGAGCGACCGCGAACTCGAACTGAACTCGAACTCGTTGCCCTCCCCTTTTTCTCCGTGCCCTACTTTTCGACTGTTCTCGAACTGATCACGAACTGTTACCCCCCTGGGTCATGCAGGCTTGCCTTACTCGCTGACACGAACGCGACCTCGAAATGAACTGGGGCCTCCCAAAAAATTGGACGCGAGCGAACGTCAACTCGAACTGAACTCGAACTCGTTGCCCTTCCCTTCCTTTTCATGCCCCACTCTGGAACTGTTCTCAAACTGATCACGAACTGTATTCCGGAACTGTTCTCGAACTGTTCACGAACTGTTCCCCCCCCTCTGGGGTACTTACTGTTTCCCAGGGATAGAAAAGCCTGCGCCACCCTAAGTCCCCTAACTTCAAGGATATCGTCTGCGTGTGAAAACTTGCGGGCGGAGGATTCTCGAGTACAACGCCCCCTGTTTGGGCATTCTACACCCCAAAAAGATTTGATGCCAGGGAAGTTTCAGTACTAAGTGCGCAGCTTCGGTAAGCGTGCTGCAGGTAGCCGCACTCCGGAGCTTGTATGTACAATGGGTCCAGAACCCAAGACCTTGGCTTGCAATGTTCAACTCTGTAGTGGTTTGGACCCAGGGGTCTGATGAAGATGCATTGGGAATGTGGAGTGGCTAGTGTTCACCCTAAACCCTAAACCCTAAACCCCTAAACCCCGAAACCCAAGCGGGGCTGGCCAGGGTTCTTATGACGAAATCTAAAGACTTCTGTCCTTGGAGTAGGAAATGAAGCTATGGGTCCCCCACAACATCCGCGCACTGTGAACTGGTGCGTGACATCCGGAAGGCAAGTCAATGATTTGGGGGACACAAATCCTCGCATAGAAGTTTCCTTGATAGTCTTCAACCCCATGGAGGTCTGGCAACCAGCTTCGGCGTCAACAGTGAGTACTGAGAAGGAAGCGTAGTCAAACAAGCGACCTCATCCAAATGCCACACTCCCCAGACAAGAGTACATCCAGCAACTGGACCCGTCTCCCCACCATCATCCCCTCCCCCAGATCACGTTGACCTTGGATGAACAGCACCGGAGAATGCATGGCGGCCAGCTGCGTCCCAACACCTTGAAGTAATGGCCGCTCCTCCTCAAACAAATGAAAGAGATGGTCACGGAGTGCTTCATGACATGCAATAAGACCTGTCCAGACGCCCCTGTCTCATTGTGAATCAGTATCAGGTCTTATTGTCATTTTTCTTAGTAGTAGAAGTATTATTGCTATTGTTATTTTTATTGGCCCCGCAGAAGCGTAAACATGCAAAACAAGTTTTTCCAAAACCTTCCGGATACGGCCTGAGTCGCGCGTTCAGCACCTCGACAGTCTTGAAAGTGCAAAAAAATATCGGTGCCGGCAGCAGATTTTCGAACAATGTTGGGAAAATCAAATGTCTCATTCTTCAATACTTGGACCCTGTGCGTTCGTTACCTAACAACCGAGACCCAAAACCTTTTGGTTCCTAGACCCTCATAGCGCAACCCTCGGTTTAGGGTCTAGGGTATTTTGTTGTGTGTACAGACGAAGCTAGACATGAAGTTAGCTACCCCAGGTTTAGGGTTTAGGGTTTAGGGTCCAAATACCTAAGCCCCATCAATAAGACCCATCGATCCGTATAAGCTCTTTGAAGCAACCCTTACTGGGTAGCCGTCAACCTTACAGCTCTCTAGCGCCTTAAACCCTAAACCCTCAACCCTAAACCCCCCTAAACCCTAAACCCTAAACCCTACAAACCCAGGATTCGTGTGGGGCCGGAGCTCGCTACCAGGGGAGTTCTGGGAGAGAAACTTTACGGTTCAGCTGTTGCTTCTTGGCTTGCAAGCTGACGGGGTAGGTTGAGGGTTTGGGACCAAATGTTTAGGGGGTGAAGCTGTTCCAGTGAAGAATTAAGGTTAGAATGCTTAGGTTTATGGGCTTGGAATTTGAGGATTTAACCCTAAACTTTTTTTGGGTTTCCAGCTCAGGTGGCTAGGGGTAGGTTTCAGGGTTGAAAGCGGCTAAGTGAGATGACAGAATGGCCAAGGTTTGGGGAATCCTTGACCTTAAACCCTGATTCCTATGCTCCGTGCCCATCAGCAAGCAAGGCAAACCCAGAATCCAAAACGATTTGGAGATGAGATCGGGAAATTGAGCAAGGATGATTACATAGGGGCAGTCCAGGTTTACATGTGATCCTAAACCCTAAACCCTAAACCCTAAACCCCAAATCCTCCCAAGGCTCTGGGAAGATTGTTTTTGAAAGCCACTTGCACCTTACTGAATCCCTCCGTTTTCTTCGACTTCCCGGTGCTAAAAACTGCAAACCCTTCATGAGGGAGTGGGAGGCGTCTGTACAGGTACTCTTGCCGCACGGGCTGATTCAATGGGGACGAATGCGGGATCGATGTAGGGATCCGCCATTCCACTCCTTTCGGAAAGTTCACCCTCAACCAGAATCGTCAAACCTTTAGCCCTAAAGCCTATAGCCCTAAACCCCATCCCCAAACCCTACACCCTAAGCCCTAAACTTAACCCCTCAACCCTAAACCCTGAACCCCAAGCCCTAAACCCCTCCATCATATTATGATTTAGATGTGAATGGATTAGCGGGCAAGGTCATAAATTTAGTGGGCATGGTCATAAATGCAGTGTGCAAGGTCGTTTTGGCTTTTCCCGCCCAAAGAAAGAATGACCTTGCCCACTAGATTTATGACGTTGCCCATTAGATTTATGAACTTCAGGGTCAGTGGGCAAGCTCAAAATTTTAGTGGGTAAGGTCATAGGTTTGGCGGGCAAGGTCGGAAATTTGGTGGGCCAGGTCATACATTTTGTGGGCAGGGTCATAACTTTAGTGGGCAAAGTTATAATTTCAGTGGGCAAGATCCTTTTTACCGGGCAGGGCCATGCTTGGGTTCAGGGCTGGAGTTTAGTGGTCAGGGTCTAGAGCAGCTGAGGATTCAGGATATAGGGTTTAGGGTTCAAGGTTCAGAGTTTAGGGTAGAGGCTTTTTAGTGATGTGGGACCCAAAGGGCGGGTGGGTAGTTTTCCATGGCTTGTGACAGTTGCTCTTGAAATGAATACTTGGACTTGAAATGCCGAACCCCAAGCCCTATGCCCTAAAAGCCCAAAGCCCAAGCCCTGCTTGCACCTGAGGAGTGGCAGCAACGATTCGAGGCTACCGTCCTCCCACACCTGTTTTCTACTCAGCGCATACGGGGTTCATGGGGATTTCCCAAAATTAGGGATTTAAGATTCAGGAGTTTACTGACTTCTGGTTGCAAAATTGTGATTGTTTGGGCTTCTTCGGGTTTAGGGCTCAGGTCCTTTGGTTAGCAAGGAATGCAGGAATTGATCTGAATTCTAGCCCTTATATCAGCCCGAGACTATAGGGACTATATAACCCATCATAGTAGTTTCCATGTTCCTTTCCATTATCCTTACATAATGTCAATAAGTTTCCATTTTCTTTTCCACTCCAGAAAGTCCTTGCCAAGCAAAGGTAAGGTGAGGGTTGAATTACCATTTTCTGGGAATTGGGGCCCGGGATTTGAATCTTGCCTGGGATTCCTCGTAGACTCAACACCGGCAAAGATGTTGTCTTTCGCGTTAAGCTTATGGATTTCAACCAGATATGGCAGCAGGAGAGAGCTGGAAGTGTGCCCAGGAAGTTGGTAAGGGTTTAGGGTTTAGGGTTTAGGGTTTAGGTGCGCGACGCACCCGCCAGTTATCTCTCTTGCATCGTACTTTAAGTATCTTTCTTCATCGTTCTTTGCGTGGGCTTTCCACAGGGGATTGCGTTGCATGAGCAACCGCCATATAGGGGTGTAGCAAGCACTTGCAGGCGCGCAGAATGGGCAAGCTTGCTGAGAATTCTTGTGCAACGTACTGGCACTTTAAATCCTAAGCATTCAAACTCCCTCAATTCCCTATATTTCTTTGTATGCCCCTATATGTCCCGATCTACCCCTATATCACCCTCAATCCTAAGAGCTCAACCCTAAACTCTAAACCGTAAACCCTAAACCCTAAATTCAACATGAGGCTTCTTCACCCTTGACCTTCCCGCGTACTCGTCCGTGGAGATTTGCCGTGAGAGGCAGAGGGCCTGCGTAAGCAGATGAGAGCTGTAGTGATCCCCTTGAATAAGCCTTATAATGCTCCCCTCTATAGTCCCCTATATAACGCCCAAAGCCCTAAAGCCTATGTAATCCCTTATGTAAACCCCCTTTAAGGAGTTTGGACCATAGCAGATGTGCTGACTTCAAGGGAAGATGGCTTCGTGGGAGGGATTCCTGGGCACGCAACCATGATAAGCCTAAGGGTCCAAGTAGCAAATAATCACATATTCCCCCAAAACCGGTACTATCATCATTATTGCCCAAATGCCAAGTACCCAATTATTGGGCACGTGGGTCCTTAGTGTAACTAGAAAGTGTGCTTGTCATGCTGACGGCCCCAGTCCCCTGGGCTGAGGGTAAACCCTAACCCCTGAACCCCAAACCCTAAACCCCAAACCCCAAACCCTAAACCCTAATCCCTGCATCCCTAAATCCTAAACCCAACATCTTTGCCTGTCCCAGTGCCTGGCGTAGTTGGTTGACTGAGCATGAAATCGCAAGCGCTTCAGCAGGTTCTTCTTCGAAGGGGCCTCACAGGGATAGGGCTTAGGGTTGTGAAATTAGGGTTCGGGATTTAGGGTTTAGGTTTTTTATGTTTACGGCATACGGTTGAGGATTTAGGATTTAGAGTTGTGGGTTTGGGATTTTTTTTTATATTACGTACTCCAATAATGGAGAACAAATGGAAAACATGGAGAAGGACATGCAAACTCAGATTCATAGTGGTGTGGGGCTTATTAAGGTTTCCAAAAAATCAAGATCCCTTTCCTCGGGGAATCTATAGTAATGATTATAATTTATGCGGGTCTATATTGCCCCTCCCCCCCCCCCCTATGTCTGGAAATCTTCATATAGGCCCAAAGCTAGCGAGCTAGCGTTGTCCTGACAGGCTCATGTACTGCATGAGTCATTGCGTGACCATCGACACGGACGGTGCTGCCGCAAGGCAGAGTTCTGAATTGCATGGACTTCATGGAGTCCATGGTTAAGTGTCTAGGATTTAGGATCTTTGTTTCACAGGTTGATAGAAGTGCAGTAGGAATTGTGATACCCCAATTGACGAAGGATGAAATATGATGGAGCTGCAACCATCGCAATAACAACTCCTTAGTCAGTCGTATAGGCTTTCAATAAAACATGGGTGGATGTAAAAATTATGGTCCCTTTTTGGGTATACTAAGTGCCGTATTATAATAGGGATCAAAAGGGGACCATAATTTTGACAAAGGCCCACATGAGCACTATCGACAGTAGCTCTCACCTGTGGCAGTAACTTTTCCAGTTTTGTAATCTTGGGATCACTTGCTCCCTAAACCCTAAAGCCTAAACCCTATGGCCAAGCGTTGCCCCAGGCGTTGATAGTGTGTGTTCGGGCCTTGCTTGCCAGGTTGGGGGGAGTGCTATGATGGGTTTAGGGTTTAGGATTTAGGGTCTAGGCGGTTCAGGGTATGGGGGTTTAGGGTCTAGGGTTTGGCTTGCAATCTATTTTGAAGTGGCCATTAGGCTTTGTCGAATAGGCAGTGGATGATGGCCCGATAAGAGCAAGAGTGGTAGTAGGAAAAGGACCAGTTAGCGTAAGATCATCAGGGAAACGATGGTGAGGATGGCTATTAAAAAAAAAAAAA